TTCATCATCTGCAAGATAACAGAAATTTTGTCAAATTACATCAATACATATTTTACAAGAATGGAATCATGTTTGACTACTTACAGCGGATGAAATCATGAAAAAAAAGGAGACGTCCAGTCGACTAAAAAATAATAATAACAATAATATGAATATTTATTTAGAGCCGGTATCCGCCAGGCTATGACGCTCATGGCGCTGTGCATATTATAATCACAAACATATCACTTTCTTAACTAAATTATAGTAAACTAAGACAACACAAATTATTACGCTACGTTGAACTGTTTAGAAAGAGATGGGTTCTTAGAGCAATTTTGAAGTCATGGATGAATGAATAAATGTAAGATACATTTCATTTCATGAACAAAATTTTGTTTATATGATACAGCATGTTAAATTGAGCTAAAACTCTTACAATTATTAATTTTTAGAACACATCATTCAAAAGAATACATCTTTGAACATTTTAAATCTTAAACCCGCTCGTTTAAAGAACTTTTAGACATGAAGAATAACAAATTCACACCTGTTACTGTGACAACGAGAAGACAAGTGTCAGTGTTTCCTGCAGCATCTGAAGATGAACAGTTCACAGTGTTGTCCCCGATCAGGAATATATCTTCAGATGAATGAGAGCAAATCACATCTAGATCAAAATCCACATTATCAGTTGCAGTTGAATTCAGCAGAACAGTAGATGACGAATTGAATCCCTCATCCGTAGTAGAGGATATATTTGGGCAGTTCAGAATAGGGGTTTCATCATCTGCAAGATAATAGAAATTCGATCAAAGTACATCAATACATAATTTACGAGAATGGAATCATGTCTGTCAACTTCCAGGTGATAAAAATAATGTAAAGTAACAGACTTCCGGTCAATTAAAAATTGTACGATAAATTTTACCTAATGAACAGAGTGTTGTTCATAAAAAAAACATGTTCAATTGAGCAAAAACCCTTTAAATTCTTAATAAGAAGTTCACATGAATCAGAAGGAATCTTCTTTTAACAAATATTACATATCCTATAATCCAAAACCGGATCGGTGAAAGAACTTTTAGACATCAAGAATAATCATATTCACACCTGATACTGTGACAACTAGAAGGCAAGTTTCAGTGTTTCCTGCAGCATCTGAAGATGAACAGTTCACAGTGGTGTCCCCGATCAGGAATATATCTTCAGATGAATGAGAGCAATTCACATCTAGATCAAAATCCACATTATCAGTTGCAGTTGAATTCAGCAGAACAGTAGATGAAGAATTGAGTCCCTCATCGGTAGTTGAAGATATATTTGGGCAGTTCAGAATAGGAGCTTCATCATCTGCAAGATAATAGAAATTCGATCAAAGTACATCAATACATAATTTACGAGAATGGAATCATGTCTGTCGACTTCCAGGTGATAAAAATAATGTAAAGTAACAGACTTCCGGTCAATTAAAAATTGTACGATAAATTTTACCTAATGAACAGAGTGTTGTTCATAAAAAAAAAATGTTCAATTGAGCAAAAACCCTTTAAATTCTTAATAAGAAGTTCACATGATTCAGAAGGAATCTTCTTTTAACAAATATTACATATCCTATAATCCAAAACCGGATCGGTGAAAGAACTTTTAGACATCGAGAATAATCATATTCACACCTGATACTGTGACAACTAGAAGGCAAGTTTCAGTGTTTCCTGCAGCATCTGAAGATGAACAGTTCACAGTGGTGTCCCCGATCAGGAATATATCTTCAGATGAATGAGAGCAATTCACATCTAGATCAAAATCCACATTATCAGTTGCAGTTGAATTCAGCAGAACAGTAGATGAAGAATTGAGTCCCTCATCGGTAGTTGAAGATATATTTGGGCAGTTCAGAATAGGAGCTTCATCATCTGCAAGATAATATCAATTCGGTCAAATTTCATCAATACATATTTTACGAGAATGGAATCATGTATCTCAAGTTCCAGGTGAGGAAAATCATGTAAAGGAACAAACTTCCGGTCGATAAAATATTGTACGATGAATTTTACCTAATGAACAGAGTGTTGTTCATAGAAACAACATGTTCAATTGAGCAAAAACCCTTTAAATTCTTAATAAGAAGTTCACATGATTCAGAAGGAATCATCTTTTAACAAATATTACATATCCAATAATCCAGAACCGGATCGGTGAAAGAACTTTTAGACATCAAGAATAATCATATTCAGACCTGATACTGTGACAACTAGAAGGCAAGTTTCAGTGTTTCCTGCAGCATCTGAAGATGAACAGTTCACAGTGGTGTCCCCGATCAGGAATATATCTTCAGATGAATGGGAGCAATTCACATCTAGATCAAAATCCACATTATCAGTTGCAGTTGAACTTAGCAGAACAGTAGATGAAGAATTGAGTCCCTCATCGGTAGTTGAAGATATATTTGGGCAGTTCAGAATAGGGGCTTCATCATCTGCAAGATAATAGAAATTCGGTCAAATTTCATCAATACATATTTTACGAGAATGGAATCATGTATGTCAACTTCCAGGTGAGGAAAATCATGTAAAGGAACAAACTTCCGGTCGATAAAATATTGTACGATGAATTTTACCTAATGAACAGAGTGTTGTTCATAGAAACAACATGTTCGATTGAGCAAAAACCCTTTAACTTCTTAATAAGAAGTTCACATGATTCAGAAGGAATCATCTTTTAACAAATATTACATATCCCATAATCCAGAACCGGATCGGTGAAAGAACTTTTAGACATCAAGAATAATCATATTCAGACCTGATACTGTGACAACTAGAAGGCAAGTTTCAGTGTTTCCTGCAGGATCTGAAGATGAACAGTTCACAGTGGTGTCTCCGATCAGGAATATATCTTCAGATGAATGGGAGCAATTCACATCTAGATCAAAATCCACATTATCAGTTGCAGTTGAACTCAGCAGAACAGTAGATGAAGAATTGAGTCCCTCATCCGTAGTAGAAGATATATTTGGGCAGTTCAGAATAGGGGTTTCATCATCTGCAAGATAACAGAAATTTTGTCAAATTACATCAATACATATTTTACAAGAATGGAATCATGTTTGACTACTTACAGCGGATGAAATCATAGGGACGTCCAGTCGACTAAAAAATAATAATAACAATAATATGAATATTTATTTAGAGCCGGTATCCGCCAGGCTATGACGCTCATGGCGCTGTGCATATTATAATCACAAACATATCACTTTCTTAACTAAATTAAAGTAAACTAAGACAACACAAATTATTACGCTACGTTGAACTGTTTAGAAAGGGATGGGTTCTTAGAGCAATTTTGAAGTCGAGGATAAATGAATAAATGTAAGATACATTTCATTTCATGAACAAAATTTTGTTTATATGATACAGCATGTTAAATTGAGCTAAAACTCTTACAATTATTAATTTGTAGAACACATCATTGAAAAGAATACATCTTTGAACATTTTAAATCTTGAACCCCCTCGTTAATAGAACTTTTAGACATGAAGAATAACAAATTCACACCTGTTACTGTGACAACGAGAAGACAAGTGTCAGTGTTTCCTGCAGCATCTGAAGATGAACAGTTCACAGTGTTGTCCCCGATCAGAAATATATCTTCAAATGAATGAGAGCAAATCACATCTAGATCAAAATCCACATTATCAGTTGCAGTTGAATTCAGCAGAACAGTAGATGACGAATTGAATCCCTCATCCGTAGTAGAAGTTATATTTGGGCAGTTCAGAATAGGTGCTTCATCATCTGCAAGATAACAGAAATTTTGTCAAATTACATCAATACATATTTTACAAGAATGGAATCATGTTTGACTACTTACAGCGGATGAAAAAATGAAAAAAAAGGGACGTCCAGTCGACTAAAAAATAATAATAACAATAATATGAATATTTATTTAGAGCCGGTGTCCGCCAGGCTATGACGCTCATGGCGCTGTGCATATTATAATCACAAACATATCACTTTCTTAACTAAATTAAAGTAAACTAAGACAACACAAATTATTACGCTACGTTGAACTGTTTAGAAAGAGATGGGTTCTTAGAGCAATTTTGAAGTCGAGGATGAATGAATAAATGTAAGATACATTTCATTTCATGAACAAAATTTTGTTTATATGATACAGCATGTTAAATTGAGCTAAAACTCTCACAATTATTAATTTGTAGAACACATCATTGAAAAGAATACATCTTTGAACATTTTAAATCTTGAACCCCCTCGTGAATAGAACTTTTAGACATGAAGAATAACAAATTCACACCTGTTACTGTGACAACGAGAAGACAAGTGTCAGTGTTTCCTGCAGCATCTGAAGATGAACAGTTCACAGTGTTGTCCCCGATCAGAAATATATCTTCAGATGAATGAGAGCAAATCACATCTAGATCAAAATCCACATTATCAGTTGCAGTTGAATTCAGCAGAACAGTAGATGACGAACTGAATCCCTCATCCGTAGTAGAAGTTATATTTGGGCAGTTCAGAATAGGTGCTTCATCATCTGCAAGATAACAGAAATTTTGTCAAATTACATCAATACATATTTTACAAGAATGGAATCATGTTTGACTACTTACAGATGATGAAATCATGGGAAAAAGGAGACGTCTAGTCGACTAAATAATAATAATATAATGAATATGAATATTAATATAGAGCCGGTTTCCGCCAGTCTCTGACGCTCATGGCGCAGGGCATATTTTTATCACAAACATATCACTTTATTAACTAAAATAAAGTAAACTAAGACAACACAATCTATTACGCTACATTGAACTGTTAAAGAAGAGATGGGTTCTTAGAGCAATTTTAAAGTCATGGATGAATGAATAAATGTAAGATACATTTCATTTCATGAACAGAATTTTGTTCATATGATACAGCATGTTAAATTGAGCTAAAACTCTTACATTAATTAATTTGTAGAACATATCAATCAAAAGAAATTATATTTCAATATTCTAAATCTTAAACCCGCTCGTTGAAAGAACGTTTAGACATGAAGAATAACAAATTCACACCTGTTACTGTGACAACGAGAAGGCAAGTTTCAGTGTTTCCTGCAGCATCTGAAGATGAACAGTTCACAGTGTTGTCTCCGATCAGGAATGTATCTTCAGATGAATGAGAGCAAATCACATCTAGATCAAAATCCACATTATCAGTTGCAGTTGAACTCAGCAGAACAGTAGATGACGAATTGAGTCCCTCATCCGTAGTAGAGGATATATTTGGGCAGTTCAGAATAGGGGTTTCATCATCTGCAAGATAATAGAAATTCGATCAAAGTACATCAATACATAATTTACGAGAATGGAATCATGTTTGTCAACTTCCAGGTGATAAAAATAATGTAAAGGAACAGACTTCCGGTCAATTAAAAATTGTACGATAAATTTTACCTAATGAACAGAGTGTTGTTCATGAAAAAACATGTTCAATTGAGCAAAAACCCTTTAAATTCTTAATAAGAAGTTCACAGGATTCAGAAGGAATCTTCTTTTAACAAATATTACATATCCTATAATCCAAAACCGGATCGGTGAAAGAACTTTTAGACATCGAGAATAATCATATTCACACCTGATACTGTGACAACTAGAAGGCAAGTTTCAGTGTTTCCTGCAGCATCTGAAGATGAACAGTTCACAGTGGTGTCCCCGATCAGGAATATATCTTCAGATGAATGAGAGCAATTCACATCTAGATCAAAATCCACATTATCAGTTGCAGTTGAATTCAGCAGAACAGTAGATGAAGAATTGAGTCCCTCATCGGTAGTTGAAGATATATTTGGGCAGTTCAGAATAGGGGCTTCATCATCTGCAAGATAATATAAATTCGGTCAAATTTCATCAATACATATTTTACGAGAATGGAATCATGTATGTCAAGTTCCAGGTGAGGAAAATCATGTAAAGGAACAAACTTCCGGTCGATAAAATATTTTACGATAAATTTTACCTAATGAACAGAGTGTTGTTCATAGAATCAACATGTTCAATTGAGCAAAAACCCTTTAAATTCTTAATAAGAAGTTCACATGATTCAGAAGGAATCATCTTTTAACAAATATTACATATCCCATAATCCAAAACCGGATCGGTGAAAGAACTTTTAGACATCGAGAATAATCATATTCACACCTGATACTGTGACAACTAGAAGGCAAGTTTCAGTGTTTCCTGCAGCATCTGAAGATGAACAGTTCACAGTGGTGTCCCCGATCAGGAATATATCTTCAGATGAATGAGAGCAATTCACATCTAGATCAAAATCCACATTATCAGTTGCAGTTGAATTCAGCAGAACAGTAGATGACGAATTGAATCCCTCATCCGTAGTAGAAGTTATATTTGGGCAGTTCAGAATAGGTGCTTCATCATCTGCAAGATTACAGAAATTTTGTCAAATTACATCAATACATATTTTACAAGAATGGAATCATGTTTGACTACTTACAGCTGATGAAATCATGGGAAAAAGGAGACGTCTAGTCGACTAAATAATAATAATATAATGAATATGAATATTAATATAGAGCCGGTTTCCGCCAGTCTCTGACGCTCATGGCGCAGGGCATATTTTTATCACAAACATATCACTTTATTAACTAAAATAAAGTAAACTAAGACAACACAATCTATTACGCTACATTGAACTGTTAAAGAAGAGATGGGTTCTTAGAGCAATTTTAAAGTCATGGATGAATGAATAAATGTAAGATACATTTCATTTCTTGAACAGAATTTTGTTCATATGATACAGCATGTTAAATTGAGCTAAAACTCTTATATTAATTAATTTGTAGAACATATCATTCAAAAGAAATTATATTTCAATATTCTAAATCTTAAACCCGCTCGTTGAAAGAACGTTTAGACATGAAGAATAACAAATTCACACCTGTTACTGTGACAACGAGAAGGCAAGTTTCAGTGTTTCCTGCAGCATCTGAAGATGAACAGTTCACAGTGGTGTCCCCTATCAAGAATATATCTTCGGATGAATGGGAGCAATTTACATCTAGATCAAAATCCACATTATCAGTTGCAGTTGAACTCAGCAGAACAGTAGATGACGATTTGAATCCCTCATCCGTAGTAGAAGTTATATTTGGGCAGTTCAGAATAGGTGCTTCATCATCTGCAAGATAACAGAAATTTTGTCAAATTAATCAATACATATTTTACAAGAATGGAATCATGTTTGACTACTTACAGCGGAAGAAATCATGGAAAAAAAGAAGACGTCCAGTCGACTAAAAAAAAAAATAATAATAATATGAATATTTATATAGAGCCGGTATCCGCCAGGCTATGACGCTCATGGCGCTGTGCATATTATAATCACAAACATATCACTTTCTTAACTAAATTAAAGTAAACTAAGACAACACAAATTATTACGCTACGTTGAACTGTTTAGAAAGAGATGGGTTCTTAGAGCAATTTTGAAGTCATGGATAAATGAATAAATGTAAGATACATTTCATTTCATGAACAAAATTTTGTTTATATGACACAGCATGTTAAATTGAGCTAAAACTCTTACAATTATTAATTTGTAGAACACATCATTGAAAAGAATACATCTTTGAACATTTTAAATCTTAAACCCGCTCGTTAAAAGAACTTTTAGACATGAAGAATAACAAATTCACACCTGTTACTGTGACAACGAGAAGACAAGTTTCAGTGTTTCCTGCAGCATCTGAAGATGAACAGTTCACAGTGGTGTCCCCGATCAGGAATGTATCTTCAGATGAATGAGAGCAATTTACATCTAGATCAAAATCCACATTATCAGTTGCAGTTGAACTCAGCAGAACAGTAGATGAAGAATTGAGTCCCTCATCCGTAGTAGAAGATATATTTGGGCAGTTCAGAATAGGGGTTTCATCATCTGCAAGATAACAGAAATTTTGTCAAATTACATCAATACATATTTTACAAGAATGGAATCATGTTTGACTACTTACAGCGGATGAAATCATGGAAAAAAAAGGAGACGTCCAGTCGACTAAAAAAAAAAAAAAAAAAAAAATATGAATATTTATTTAGAGCCGGTATCCGCCAGGCTATGACGCTCATTGCGCTGTGCATATTATAATCACAAACATATCACTTTCTTAACTAAATTAAAGTAAACTAAGACAACACAAATTATTACGCTACGTTGAACTGTTTAAAAATAGATGGGTTCTTAGAGCAATTTTGAAGTCATGGATGAATGAATAAATGTAAGATACATTTCATTTCATGAACAAAATTTTGTTTATATGATACAGCATGTTAAATTGAGCTAAAACTCTTACAATTATTAATTTGTAGAACACATCATTGAAAAGAATACATCTTTGAACATTTTAAATCTTAAACCCGCTCGTTAAAAGAACTTTTAGACATGAAGAATAACAAATTCACACCTGTTACTGTGACAACGAGAAGACAAGTGTCAGTGTTTCCTGCAGCATCTGAAGATGAACAGTTCACAGTGTTGTCTCCGATCAGGAATGTATCTTCAGATGAATGAGAGCAAATCACATCTAGATCAAAATCCACATTATCAGTTGCAGTTGAACTCAGCAGAACAGTAGATGACGAATTGAGTCCCTCATCCGTAGTAGAGGATATATTTGGGCAGTTCAGAATAGGGGTTTCATCATCTGCAAGATAATAGAAATTCGATCAAAGTACATCAATACATAATTTACGAGAATGGAATCATGTTTGTCAACTTCCAGGTGATAAAAATAATGTAAAGGAACAGACTTCCGGTCAATTGAAAATTGTACGATAAATTTTACCTAATGAACAGAGTGTTGTTCATGAAAAAAACATGTTCAATTGAGCAAAAACCCTTTAAATTCTTAATAAGAAGTTCACATGATTCAGAAGGAATCTTCTTTTAACAAATATTACATATCCTATAATCCAAAACCGGATCGGTGAAAGAACTTTTAGACATCGAGAATAATCATATTCACACCTGATACTGTGACAACTAGAAGGCAAGTTTCAGTGTTTCCTGCAGCATCTGAAGATGAACAGTTCACAGTGGTGTCCCCGATCAGGAATATATCTTCAGATGAATGAGAGCAATTCACATCTAGATCAAAATCCACATTATCAGTTGCAGTTGAATTCAGCAGAACAGTAGATGAAGAATTGAGTCCCTCATCGGTAGTTGAAGATATATTTGGGCAGTTCAGAATAGGGGCTTCATCATCTGCAAGATAATATAAATTCGGTCAAATTTCATCAATACATATTTTACGAGAATGGAATCATGTATGTCAAGTTCCAGGTGAGGAAAATCATGTAAAGGAACAAACTTCCGGTCGATAAAATATTGTACGATACATTTTACCTAATGAACAGAGTGTTGTTCATAGAATCAACATGTTCAATTGAGCAAAAACCCTTTAAATTCTTAATAAGAAGTTCACATGATTCAGAAGGAATCATCTTTTAACAAATATTACATATCCCATAATCCAAAACCGGATCGGTGAAAGAACTTTTAGACATCGAGAATAATCATATTCACACCTGATACTGTGACAACTAGAAGGCAAGTTTCAGTGTTTCCTGCAGCATCTGAAGATGAACAGTTCACAGTGGTGTCCCCGATCAGGAATATATCTTCAGATGAATGAGAGCAATTCACATCTAGATCAAAATCCACATTATCAGTTGCAGTTGAATTCAGCAGAACAGTAGATGACGAATTGAATCCCTCATCCGTAGTAGAAGTTATATTTGGGCAGTTCAGAATAGGTGCTTCATCATCTGCAAGATTACAGAAATTTTGTCAAATTACATCAATACATATTTTACAAGAATGGAATCATGTTTGACTACTTACAGCTGATGAAATCATGGGAAAAAGGAGACGTCTAGTCGACTAAATAATAATAATATAATGAATATGAATATTAATATAGAGCCGGTTTCCGCCAGTCTCTGACGCTCATGGCGCAGGGCATATTTTTATCACAAACATATCACTTTATTAACTAAAATAAAGTAAACTAAGACAACACAATCTATTACGCTACATTGAACTGTTAAAGAAGAGATGGGTTCTTAGAGCAATTTTAAAGTCATGGATAAATGAATAAATGTAAGATACATTTCATTTCATGAACAGAATTTTGTTCATTTGATACAGCATGTTAAATTGAGCTAAAACTCTTATATTAATTAATTTGTAGAACATATCATTCAAAAGAAATTATATTTCAATATTCTAAATCTTAAACCCGCTCGTTGAAAGAACGTTTAGACATGAAGAATAACAAATTCACACCTGTTACTGTGACAACGAGAAGACAAGTTTCAGTGTTTCCTGCAGCATCTGAAGATGAACAGTTCACAGTGGTGTCCCCGATCAGGAATGTATCTTCAGATGAATGAGAGCAATTCACATCTAGATCAAAATCCACATTATCAGTTGCAGTTGAACTCAGCAGAACAGTAGATGAAGAATTGAGTCCCTCATCCGTAGTAGAAGATATATTTGGGCAGTTCAGAATAGGGGTTTCATCATCTGCAAGATAACAGAAATTTTGTCAAATTACATCAATACATATTTTACAAGAATGGAATCATGTTTGACTACTTACAGCGGATGAAATCATGGAAAAAAAGGAGACGTCCAGTCGACTAAAAAAAAAAAAAAAAAAAAAAAATATGAATATTTATTTAGAGCCGGTATCCGCCAGGCTATGACGCTCATTGCGCTGTGCATATTATAATCACAAACATATCACTTTCTTAACAAAATTAAAGTAAACTAAGACAACACAAATTATTACGCTACGTTGAACTGTTTAGAAAGAGATGGGTTCTTAGAGCAATTTTGAAGTCATGGATGAATGAATAAATGTAAGATACATTTCATTTCATGAACAAAATTTTGTTTATATGATACAGCATGTTAAATTGAGCTAAAACTCTTACAATTATTAATTTGTAGAACACATCATTGAAAAGAATACATCTTTGAACATTTTAAATCTTAAACCCGCTCGTTAAAAGAACTTTTAGACATGAAGAATAACAAATTCACACCTGTTACTGTGACAACGAGAAGACAAGTGTCAGTGTTTCCTGCAGCATCTGAAGATGAACAGTTCACAGTGTTGTCTCCGATCAGGAATGTATCTTCAGATGAATGAGAGCAAATCACATCTAGATCAAAATCCACATTATCAGTTGCAGTTGAAATCAGCAGAACAGTAGATGAAGAATTGAGTCCCTCATCCGTAGTAGAAGATATATTTGGGCAGTTCAGAATAGGGGTTTCATCATCTGCAAGATAACAGAAATTTTGTCAAATTACATCAATACATATTTTACAAGAATATAATCATGTTTGACTACTTACAGCGGATGAAATCATGGAAAAAAAGGAGACGTCCAGTCGACTAAAAAAAAAAATAATAATAATATGTATATTTATTTAGAGCCGGTATCCGCCAGGCTATGACGCTCATTGCGCTGTGCATATTATAATCACAAACATATCACTTTCTTAACAAAATTAAAGTAAACTAAGACAACACAAATTATTACGCTACGTTGAACTGTTTAGAAAGAGATGGGTTCTTAGAGCAATTTTGAAGTCATGGATGAATGAATAAATGTAAGATACATTTCATTTCATGAACAAAATTTTGTTTATATGATACAGCATGTTAAATTGAGCTAAAACTCTTACAATTATTAATTTGTAGAACACATCATTGAAAAGAATACATCTTTGAACATTTTAAATCTTAAACCCGCTCGTTAAAAGAACTTTTAGACATGAAGAATAACAAATTCACACCTGTTACTGTGACAACGAGAAAACAAGTGTCAGTGTTTCCTGCAGCATCTGAAGATGAACAGTTCACAGTGTTGTCTCCGATCAGGAATGTATCTTCAGATGAATGAGAGCAAATCACATCGAGATCAAAATCCACATTATCAGTTGCAGTTGAACTCAGCAGAACAGTAGATGACGAATTGAGTCCCTCATCCGTAGTAGAGGATATATTTGGGCAGTTCAGAATAGGGGTTTCATCATCTGCAAGATAATAGAAATTCGATCAAAGTACATCAATACATAATTTACGAGAATGGAATCATGTCTGTCAACTTCCAGGTGAGGAAAATCATGTAAAAGAACAAACTTCCGGTCGATAAAATATTGTACGATAAATTTTACCTAATGAACAGAGTGTTGTTCATAGAAACAACATGTTCAATTGAGCAAAAACCCTTTAAATTCTTAATAAGAAGTTCACATGATTCAGAAGGAATCATCTTTTAACAAATATTACATATCCCATAATCCAAAACCGGATCGGTGAAAGAACTTTTAGACATCGAGAATAATCATATTCACACCTGATACTGTGACAACTAGAAGGCAAGTTTCAGTGTTTCCTGCAGCATCTGAAGATGAACAGTTCACAGTGGTGTCCCCGATCAGGAATATATCTTCAGATGAATGAGAGCAATTCACATCTAGATCAAAATCCACATTATCAGTTGCAGTTGAACTCAGCAGAACAGTAGATGAAGAATTGAGTCCCTCATCCGTAGTAGAAGATATATTTGGGCAGTTCAGAAAAGGGGCTTCATCATCTGCAAGATAATAGAAATTCGGTCAAATTTCATCAATACATATTTTACAAGAATGGAATCATGTTTGACTACTTACAGCTGATGAAATCATGGGAAAAAGGAGACGTCTAGTCGACTAGATAATAATAATAATAATAATATGAGTCTTTATATAGAGCCGGTATCCGCCAGTCTCTGACGCTCATGGCGCAGCGCATATTTTAATCACAAACATATCACTTTATTAACTAAAATAAAGTAAACTAAGACAACACAATCTATTACGCTACAGTGAACTGTTTAGAAAGAGATGGGTTCTTAGAGCAATTTTAAAGTCATGGATAAATGAATAAATGTAAGATACATTTCATTTCATGAACAGATTTTTATTCATATGATACAGCATGTTAAATTGAGCTAAAACTCTTACAATTATTAATTTGTAGAACACATCATTCAAAAGAAATCATCTTTCAACATTCTAAATCTTAAACCCGCTCGTTGAAAAAACTTTTAGACATAAAGAATAACGAATTCACACCTGTTACTGTGACAACGAGAAAACAAGTGTCAGTGTTTCCTGCAGCATCTGAAGATGAACAGTTCACAGTGGTGTCCCCGATCAGGAATATATCTTCAGATGAATAAGAGCAATTCACGTCTAGATCAAAATCCACATTATCAGTTGCAGTTGAACTCAGCAGAACAGTAGATGAAGAATTGAGTCCCTTATCCGTAGTAGAAGATATATTTGGGCAGTTAAGAATAGGTGCTTCATCATCTACAAGATAACAGAAATTATACAGAATTGGTTGTTTAGGGCCAGATTATTGGAAGAACCTGATACAGGTTTTATTCGTTAATACAATAGACAAGCTCTATCTAATCTGTGTTATGCGCAATAGTCTTCCTTTAAAAATATATATTATATCGCTAAACTTGTATATATTAGGGGCATTAGACAAGTTGTTGTGTTATTGTGAAAGCGTCTTCTTTTCATATAAGAGCTAAGAAATGGATTTTGACGTTGAATCCTTCAAATGTCTTCAACAATCAGTCTTTGAAAAAAGAATATACAAATTGAAATCGTCAACAAAAATCTACCCTCATTCGAAAAGTGGATAGAAAAGTTTACCTTCACAAGAAGGCAGAAAATCAGAGAGAGTGAGAGAGGGGGGGCATGTTTACAAGACCTGATACTGAAGGAGATCCTACAACATTGTATCCTACATCACAGACAATAGGATATTTTCAACCAAATCATTGTGCTCATTCATTTGAACACTACTTTTTTTTAGCTGTCGTAGTGTCTAGGAGCATAACTTGAGATCTGAAAGAATCGAGGGGAAAATTGTTGGATCCCTAGATAAGTAAACCGAATCACCAACTAAATATTATAGGGAAAAATATTGTACAAAATGTCAACTCCTTTAAAGAATGGTAGAAAAGTTTACCTTCACATTGAGGTAGTAAATCAGAGAGAGACGTGTTTGCCTGACATGTTACTGATGGAGATCCAACAAGATTATACCCCACATCACATGAATATGAACAGCTTTCTGTGTAATTGATGGATAGTCCTCCGTTACATTGTGACGTCATAGAAGATAGACGCGGTGGAAGCTCAGGTATGGAGCAGGATACAACTGTTAAAGAAAGGATAAAGATGTTTAGGTTTTGTTCGGAGGATTCGCGTCTACCAATGTAATGCTATTTAGTCTTTGTCTTTTTCTTTCTTAAAATCACCACAATCTAAGGGCATATTAATTATAGAGAGCCACGCAAATGCACTATGCACAATATGACTCTAGAAAAGTTGTCAAAGTCATATTACATTTTGGTTAATCAACACACATAACAGAACATTTAGAACCATCACATTCAGTCCTGGAATATTTTTCTCGAACTCAAAGATGTATACATTTATTCGTGTGAATTTTTTGATAAGAATTGTCACATTGACATGCCTTCACAAGTTGGTAGATCTGCGGAAAGCGCCCCGCTAGCCTGACACGTCATAGACGAGTTACCAATGATGTCATATCCGGGCTGACATTCAATTCAATTCAATTCAATATAATTCATCTTTATTCAATGATATAAAAGAAAATAGTACAATGCAATAAAACATATTGACATAATCATATACATATAAAATTAACATATCGTTAGGGGTAACCAAAAAAGATCAGGATCTTGTGGACTGGTGCCCCTTTGACAAAATAACAAATTATAAGTAAAACATTAATAATAATCACAAGCAGACACAGCCAACACACACACACACACTCACCCAAGAGAAGGGAAGGTGAAAGAGAGATTACATGTACAGTGTACATATATGAGGTAAACTTATTAAAAAGATACATGGAAATCAAGAAGTATATTTATAAATAAAGTGACTTTTAAGTAAGGCTTTGATGGATGAGGCTGTTGAATATGGACGAATGATTGAATTTAAATTGTTAACCATCTTTGGTCCTACATGTTTAAAAGAATTATACATTTGCGTATTAGAAGTTAATGGAAGGTGGAATTGGGAAGCTGAACGTGTGTAATACTGATGAAAGTCATCAATAAAGTTAAACAAATTAATTATATTGCCTGGGGCCATTTTATGTTTGACATAATACATCAGTACTGCGACTTTAAATTCATATATATATGATAATATTAAGTGTTTTTAATTCAAAAAAGAGGGGGCGAGATGGCGCTAAATAAGGTGACTTTGTACAAATGCGTATTAGCTTTTTTCTGCAGTTTATGAAATGGTTCTAATTTGCTTTTCCCAACGTTGGCCCAGGTAATGTTACCATAATGGATAAAAGGAAGCATAAGTGAATTATACAGCATGAATAAATGTTTTTTGGGTAGAATAGAGCGCAATTTACAGATAATTCCGATATTTTTAGAGATCTTTTTTAGTATGTACATACGATGGTTTTGAAAAGTAAGTTGATTGTCCAATAAAACTCCAAGAAATTTCACGGAGTCAGAAACATTCAAGTATATATCATTAATTTTCACTTTGATTGTATGAGGAGGAAACTTAATATTAGGTTTAGAGAAATACAAACTACATGTTTTATCATGATTAATTACTAACTTATTGGAATCAAACCAGTCAACTATTTTGCATAACTCTTCGTTAGTCTTATGAAGGAGCGTATTAAAGTCTTTATGTGAGGAAATGATATTGGTATCATCAGCAAATCAAACAAAATGAAAAAATGAAGTAACATAACACAAATCATTAATATACAGCAAAAATAGCAAGGGACCGAGTATGGATCCCTGAGGAATTCCGCATTCAACCTCGGAAAGAGTTGAATCAAAATTATTATACCCATATTGGGACCTATTCTGTAGATAACTATTAAACCAGTCTAAGACTACACCACGAATTCCAAAATATGGTAATTTATACAAAAGAATATTATGGTCAATCAGATCGAAAGCCTTTGATAGATCAAGGAAAATACCAAGTGAATGAACATTATTATGAATATTATTTAATAGTACATCATGTAGTTCAATCAGTGCAAGCTCACAGGAATGATTTGATCTGAAACTATATTGGGCATTAGTTAATAAAGTATTCTTATTTATATGATTAGCTATACGATTATACATGATTTTTCTCTAAGATCTTTGAGAAGCAGGGTAATAAGGTATGGGGTCTATAGTTAGAAAATAAATGTCTATCACCTTTTTTATACACTGGAAATATTCTACCAATTTTCATTTTATTTGGGAAAAAGCCAGTGCACATAGATAAATTAACAATATGAACCAAGGGAACAGCAATTGAATGAATGACTTTCTTAATAAGATGCATGTTAATGTCATCAAACCCTGCACTCTTAGAATTTTTCGCTTTTTTAACAACATTAATTATTTCTGTTTTACATGTTGGGTACAAATAAATTGATTTATTGCAAGAATGGCTAAGATAAGAACTAAAGTGAGTTTTCGGTGATTGATTTAACTTAGATTGAGCAAGAGAAGCAATGTTTGAAAAATAATTATTGAATTCTTCAGCAATATCATCATTTTCTATTTTAACATCATTTTTCATAAAAAAGTGGAGAGTCTATCTTGCTTACTTTTCCCAATTAGCTCATTAATAATTTGCCAAACTTTTGAAAGATTATTTGTATTAACTTGTAGTAAATCATAATAGTATTTTTCACGAGCAGTTTTCAACTCACGATTCAATATATTTCGGTACCTTTTAAATTTATTATGAGATGTATCATTGCGTGTTTTACAATATTCTTTATAAAGCCTTTTTTTTTTATTGATACATCTTAATAAAGAAAAAGTAATCCATGATTTTCTTGGTGAAGAATTCTTTTTATGTTTACCTTTCGAGCATTTATTACTAACAACATCATTAAACTTATTCAAAAAACGATCATATGCGAGTTCAACATTATCAAACTGAACAATATCAGACCAATCAAGAATAACTAATTCTTTTCTTATGGAATCAATAGAAGTAGAGTTAAGACATCTTCTGGATTTATTATCATTAGTATTTCTATTTTCTTTGAGATTATTTTGAGTAATAGAAAAAATTGGCAAGTGGTCTGTTATATCGTTATAAAATATACCAGAACTAATATCTTTACTGCAGACATTCGTAAATATATTATCTATAAGTGTTTTCGATGATTTACAAATACGTGTAGGCTATCAGTCAATGAATGATATGATTTATTATACAAAATATTTACAAAGTCATTGACATGATTTACAGTAGAACAATTCAGCAAGTTAATATTAAAATCACCCATAATGTAGACATCTTAATTTTCTTTTTCTATTTTCTGTAAACAAGCATCAATTTCACAATTAAATTCTTTAACATTAGTATGGGGATCTCTATAAACAACAGCAATGATAATATTTCTTTTGTTTTGCACATCTATTTCAAGAAAGAGTGATTCACAAATTGCATCTAACAAACATAAATCCTGTCTTACAAACACGTTCAGAGAATTTTGCTCAAACATTGCAACACCACCGCCTCTACATTTTCCCCTTTTATTATGAAAAAAGTATACCCACTGAGATTAAATAATGAAACTGGAGTATTGCTGTGGATCCACGTTTCACTAAATCCATATACAGAAAAGTTTTGGTCTAATTGGCAAATAAAATCATGAATAGAATCAAAGTTCTTATATAAACTACGCGAATTAAAATTAAGCAGATTAAACATATCGCCATGTTGAAACTCATAGTTTGCATTAAAATCATTTGGCAACCAGTATTTATTACAAATATCAAACAGATTAGAGTTCCTGTCGGCATCAATATCATTAATAATATCATCAGTGTCATCGAGAACAAAATCATCATGGGATATTTGGTTAGGTAAGTTACGGTAGTCAACAGGGTTAGTAGTAAATGTATTGAACAGATTGTTAAGGTCTAAGTTAGAAAGAGAGGAGAAGGGAAATTGGAAATCACACATCATCAACAATCACACACTATCAACAGTCACACAAGAGAATCTACTTAAAACTACAATTAAGATTACAATACAGTATTATTTAAAATAAAATATAAAAGAAGATACAAAATCAATTTAAAATTAAGTGCACATGCAAAGCCTGCAGAAATTATTATGCTATCTGTTCATTTGATTTCATAGTCCAATTATAGCTCGCGTTCA